TGAAACTCTCTTTTGGGTTTGTTTTTCCCTCAACATGTTGCTATCTACATAATATTCTATGAACAGAATAAGCAACATGGTACCATGTGGAGATATGATGTAGCCAACTCAAAGCATGCATCATTCAAACAGTGGATATACATATATACTTGGGCCATTTCTTTAGATGCCCTTTTATCAACACCAGCTTTACACTCCATCTTTTATTGGACTTCTGCCCATGCATGATGTTAACCATTTAGGGCGTCATTTTTCAATTTAAAATATGCCAAGTAAAAAAAGGTGTCTAGTTTTCCACCTCAGAGGGATTTATTGGGCTAGAACCTAGAACTTTCCCCCCATGACAACACGTGAAACTTTTTTGTAGGTAAGTTTTTTTTTTTTTTTTTTAAATAAAAAATTTACACGTGAAACCCTTATGTAATGTCAACTGTGTTGTCAGAAACAAAATTCCAATTCGTATAATATATATATTTTTTTATTTCATAACTATTTCTTCTTTTAAGAATGTCCATGAATAAATGTTATTTTTAAACTTGTTACACTTATAATAAATTGTTGTTTTCTATCATGTTTTGGTTCTAAGTCTGTAATTTTACCAATTTAAACATTTCATGGGGTTTCATCTAAAAATTTCATATTTTTCTCAAATAATGAAGGTTAATGAATATGAAATTTCCTGTGAATCCTCTGCCTGCATATCTGAGATGGAATTTCCACTGAAACGAAAAATCAACAATTTTATTTATATATCATTTTTTTTTGGTAAAATTTATGTTTAGACGGAATTGGAAGCTTAATTCTATACTTAAAGCTTGCAATTTGAACAACGTCCAATGCATAATGCAACTTCCTAGCACTTGTAACACCAAACAAAAAAAATGTTGTAAATGGGTTTTCTTCCTACACAACAAGGAACCAAAATGTGACATTTTCTGCCCAAAAGATGTGAAACAAGATCTTTGAGGTTAATATGGGGATAGATAAATTCTAAAAGAATCATCATCATCATAAACAAGATCTTTGAGTGTTATCCCTACCACATGAGATTGGTTACATGAATCCTGTTTCGCTATTTTGGAATTTTGTTAGGTTTGGTTCTATATCCATTAGAATATGAGTGCTTAAATTGTTTCTTATTACCTCAACCCATGTCCTACCACAAAGGGTTGGTTACATGAATCCTGTTTTGTCATTTTGGAATCTTGTTTTGGCTTAGTTCCATATCCATTGTTAGAGTACGAGTGCTTAAATTGTTTCTTACTGTTCCAACCCATGTCCCTTTTATATAATTAAATGTCATTGGAGCTGGATGTGAAATGGACGATTCATAGTATAGGTAGCAATGGTAGGTCTCTCGAATCAAATCCATTCATCATCATCATCCAATTCAGGCCCAATTCTAATGATCTGAGCTGGCTTAGGCTGATGGATTGGGTCAAGAATTACAACCCCCTAACCCTGATACTTCAGTAGGATTACAGATCTATCCAGCCAAAAGAGATTAATATCACACAATAACAACAGCAATGATGTATAGCAGGCTTACCTTTAACGCTATGTTTGGTTTGAAGGAAAAGGTAGGGAAAGAAAGGGAAATGTAGGAAAACCTATACAAGGTTTATAAAGGTTTTCCTACATTTCCCTTCCTTTCCCTATTTTTTCCTTTAAACCAAACACAGCCTAAGGGCTTAAAGTGGGAATTTATGAATTTATCACCAAAATCCAAATTCAAAGAATAAAAAGAAAGAGGATGATGGGGATATCTCCGTTTTTTCTTATAGATGGACACAAGTTTTAGAAGACAAACACCCCACGGCCCCTATATTACCTTTTATTGTTCGGGTGGTGGTTGAGTTGGCCAGGGATGGTAGAGATGTCATGTAGCTATCTCCGTGGTCGACCCCTCTCACGCCATGTCAGAGCCACGCTTAATAGAAGAGCATGATTAAGAAGGAGTATCATGCACGAACAAGGAAGCGAACTCTACCGAAGAAGAAGAAACCACCTGAAAACCCCGGCGGGCGCCCTCATCTCAATAACCCCAGAAGCCTTATCCATCTGGGACGCGGACACCCAATTATAAATAGGTATTCCCCACTCGAGGTAAGGGACCTTTGGAAGAACACGCTTGAAATATCTTTCTGCACTATTTCTTCAGTCCGAGCCAGCATTATTTCAACCTGCTCAACCCAGACACTTCTTTCTCTACCCAACTGACTTAAACAACGGATTACCTATCCAGAGAACAACTCCTCGGGCCTTTGACCTTTTCTCTTGGTTATAGATCTCGGTGTGTGGCTTCTTTCTTCCACCTTGACCTCGTCCAATTGACAAGATTATCTGATTGTGTTCTCAGTTCAAAACGCTTCGGCCTCATCTAATTGGTAACATTATCTGATTGTATCCTCAGTTTGAAACACCTCGGATCATCCCCATTTTTTCTTATAGATGGAGAAGACAAACACCCCAGGGCCCTATATTACCTTCTATCATTATAAGACAAGGGAGTTTTCTTTTGTCTTTTCACATGGTATGGTTTATTTGAAGATAGACAGAAGGGGCTCTCGGTGGTTAATGTGAAAACGCTCCCATCTAATCATCATACCTAACTTTGAAGATAGACAGCAGGAGTCCTCCCTTTCTCACTTTGTGTTACCAATTCTAACTAGTTCTCCCTGACTTCGGTATCTCTTTGATTGATACTTGGAGAAGGACCTTGTCATGAATTGATCGGGACTTACCTTTCTATCATAAATTGTTTAAGGAATAATTTTCTGTGAAGAATTGAACGCGGAATCACATAGTAAGCATGAGATTAGATTTGGATTTGATGATGAAAAGGATGACGCGTCGGAGTATATTAACCCTGAAATTCTTGGACCGCACCTGTCGGCAGAATCACAAACGTCAATTAACTATAATATATGATTTTAATACATGTGGGTATGGCTGTTAGCTAGTAATTATAAATCAAATCTGGTCCATAGCTAATACAAACAAAACAAAGGTTGAAACTTTCTCTCTGATCATGACTCAAATTATTATTTGGATGATGTTAACTCGTTAATTAACTTGATTATGGATTAAAATTTCACAACACATATTGAGGCATGATACCCGATATGTATCCTATCTGTGACCCTCTGATACATTCGTATAGTAAGTGTATTGGGGTCCGACCTTTTAATGGATAGACAAGCCTTAAATCAATCCCTTGAATTTGTTTGAAAAAAACTATAAAAAGGGTGGCCAACAATACATGTTTTATGCACCATTTAACCTATGGAAACATGTATTTCTGAGCAAGGTTTAAAGTATCGATATAAGTGATAACACAATTTTTGCATATTATACGATTCAATGGGATGATATGGATAGACAGTAATTGTTTTAGGCTAGGTTTGGTTTGAAGGAAAAGATAGGAAAAGGAAGGGAAAGACAGGGAAATCTATACAAGGTTTGTAAAGGTTTCCCTACCTTTCCCTGCATTTTCCTTCAAACCAAACATAACTTTAATTTCAAGCTTTGAATTTCTGGAAAGGATGTTAACCATTGAACATTGTCACTTGTCCTAGATATCCATGTATTTAGTGAACTAGTGACCCTTAAAACTGATATGTATCGATTGATACGCACCGATATGTTGTGATATTTTGAATCCAAACTATGAATTAAAAAAAGGGAGATATATGGGATAGATTGACCAAGTGAAAGAGGAGCCATCAATCCTAGTTGGATCACCGCCTATTCTTGGCTTGGGGGAGCGGGAACTTGAAATTGACTTGTTTGCAAGTTGTGTCAAGTATACCAAGTTTGGCTGTTACAGATTCATGCTTAACATGGTAATAGAAATGGATGGTTCAGTGAAGCACATACATCAAGAGAACAACTGATGACTTACGGTAGCCATTGATTTCCACTGTAAGTCTAGCATGAGTTCTAAGTAGACCAAGGCTGCATTCTCCAGCTTGGAAAGGTTAATTAATGGAATTACAATCCTCCTCCAACCAAATTCCATGTGATTGAGTTCACTACTTGCCATTTAACACCCACAAACACACACTTAGAAAATTAAAGGATTATTGTATGGGAGGAGATTAATTCTCTAGCTAATACCTGGTTTTTTGGGGTGCAATTTCATTTGCACTGGTGCAAAAAATATGGAGTGCAAATAAAGTAAAATAAAATCTAAAGTAAACTAGAATTTACATTTTTTTTCACTTGCACTCTTTCGCATTTGTACTAGTGCAAATGAAATGAAATTGCAGTGCAAACTAATTAACAAAGCCCAAGTCTTTTGAGTTCCACAACTTACATATATAGTACTTCCAAGATAAAAATTTTGCTTAAACCACGACTGAAATTGAAATTAGGTTGATTAATATGCACTTAATTATTTTATTTACTAAATAAACAAAACCGTAAGTCATTCAGTTCAGCCACTTCAGGTGTTATTAAACAACGATAGACATGTCTGTCCCTCCATGACAGAGACAAAACATTAATTGCACATATTGTGACGTGCAACTTAAACTGCATGCAGTGCAACATTTGCAGCTCAAGGTGAATTTCATGATACGATTATTACATAAAATGCCTTTTTTATGTACTAGAAATTTATTATTTTTACATGGCCGACAACCCAAAATTCAATACAATTAGGCCAAGTGAAAAATCTTGACTCGAGGTTCGTCGTTTAGTTATCTTTATTTATTGATTGAGAAAATTTGATAAAGCGAGACCACTGCATGTGCTTAGGGACTGAGTCTCAATCACGGGCTGGGCATCCACTAGAGAGAAATCACGTCTGTTGAAGGTAAGGTATTTTTCTTCTCTTGTCCACGCTTCATGGTAAGAAAATATCATCCAATTGGGACCCACTGGATGTTAGGGCCTCCATAGTGTGCTTTGTAGTGTTTCTCGAGTCAATGAATAGTGACAAATTTTGAGCTGTGGCTCTCTCTCTCTCTCTCTCTATTATAAAAGGACCCATTATGTGATATGGGTTTCACTCAGTAGTAAGAATTGTAAAGAGGGGATCAAAATCAGAAGCTCTGTTTCTCTTTCCCCCTTTCCTCTTGTTTTGAGTTTCAGGTGATCATGGCGAAGTTTCTAATGGCTAAGCTGTTGATGATCTTGGTTTTGAATTTAGGGGCAATACTCCCATCTCTTGCTTGTCCTTACTGTCCATATCCAACTCCTCCTACTAAACCTCCCAAGCTGCCACCCAAATTACCTCCTAAACATCCCGGCCATAAGCCCCCACCAATGATCAAACCTCCCTACGTTCCCAAGCCTCCTGTTGTAAAGCCACCACCTCTGCCTAAACCTCCTCCAGTTGTCTATCCACCTCCCCCTCCACCAACTGTTACTCCCAAGCCACCACCACCTCCGGTGGAAACACCTTGCCCACCGCCGCCTCCCAAGGTGGTGCCTCCACCACCCTATGTGCCTAAGCCACCAGTTGTAACCCCACCTCCAGTTGTTCCCAAGCCCCCTGTTGTTTATCCACCACCACCCTTTGTGCCCAAGCCTCATCCTCCTCCGGTTGTCTACCCACCTCCAACAGAAACCCCTTGCCCTCCCCCACCACCAAAGGTGGTGCCATATCCACCACCGGCACAACAAACTTGCCCAATTGACACTCTAAAGCTGGGCGCCTGCGTGGACGTTCTGGGTGGTCTGATACATATTGGCATTGGCAGTAGTGCTAAGGATACATGCTGTCCAGTGCTCCAGGGACTACTTGACTTAGACGCGGCTCTGTGTCTCTGCACAACCATCAAAGTCAAGCTCCTAAACATCAACATCATCCTACCCATTGCTCTTGAGGTCCTTGTTGACTGCGGGAAGACTCCACCTCCAGGGTTCCAGTGTCCTGCCTAAGGTCGATTTGCTACACTTGATCTTTTCTGGCTACATTAAGACTCGGTTTACTTGTTTAATTTACACCCATCAAAGCAAATGCTAGACTTGTTTGATGGACACAATAATGCGTGAGAGCTAGATAGAGGAAGGGAAAAAACAATAGACCTCCTTGTCCTTGAGAGAACTCATCTTCTTTTTTCTTTTTATTGTTGTGTTGTTGTTGTACCAGTAGTATATCAAATCGATTAAAATCGACCTCTCTCTCTCTCTCTCTCTCCTGAGTCCTGTGTTCTGTGTTCTTGTCCTTGAATGAGAGAGACATTACAATGGCGAAACAGCACTACATCTACGTAGAGCAAATCACGTCCATAACCATCGTATCTTCCCTCTACTAGAATCAGCGTAGGGTTGATATTTTGGGAGACACATGTGCAATTAAGACGAGTTTCACGAATCACGATTCAATCTAATGTCCCAAATCCAGATTATCCGATAGGGATCGATCTAATTAATACCAACAAAACGCTCACAACAATGTCCCAACAAGCCACACGTTAAGAACAACATCTCCCTGGGGAGATGTTCCCAATGACTGATTGGGATGCGGTTGACACTGTTTGTTGATAACTGATCCGAAGTCCAGATAATCAGCACCCAAAAAAATCCATGAGAGCATGCTAAACATATCATACATTTCTCCACCGTCAGATGCATGAATTACAAGCACTCATCGTTGCAATATAATGTTAAGAGGCCCACTAGATCTACATGGAGACCCATTGAATATGGGGAATATGACCACTCAGTCATGGGCCTCACCTAACATTTGCATTGCTTCAAATAACCAGTAATGTTAAGCCGTTCTGGGGACCATCATTTCTGGATTATCCTAAGAGCCCATAGGTTGAAAATGGGCCAAACCATATTGAAAGGCTGCTTATCAAGAGGCAAAGCACAAATAATCAAATTAACTTCAAGTTCAGAACTGTTTTTCTTTCTGTGATTTCAGAACACAAGAATGAAAAATGTTAAAGCATGTTCATGGATTCCGGTTTCAAAAACATGTTCCATAAATCATACAATTTACACACTACAAATTTTGTTTTTGACTTAAAAACCGTCATTTTCATTGTTCTAAAAACATGATTTTTTTTAGACAAAACTAACTTGTTTTTGCCTTTAAAAACAAAAAACAGTGCTCTACTTTTTTGATGTATCGATTTCAAAAACAGCATCGAATGATGGAATGATGAATTTTCTGATTTAGAAGGCTGTTATATTAACCCTTAAATCAATCAATTTGCCGATATGATTGCTTCAAATAAAACAAAGACTGCGGAGAATTTAAAGTTATTCTCTAAATGCTAGGCCAGAAAAGACATGCCCACAATTGGTTCATTCACCTTTCCAATTATGCATGCAAGTAAAGGTTTTTTTTTTTTTTTTACGTAAATTCTGCTCATAATTAGATCGGATTCGTCTAAATCCAAGTTGGATTCGATTAATTATTAACAGTATCTGATTCTGATATGAAATCCGAACGGATATACGTACAAGGCATCCGAGTTCGAACCTAATCGAAATTTTCGGATTTCATTCAACTCCCATTGATTTCTGCAATCAGCTGAAAGAGAAACCGTAAAACCAGAGCTTAGCTGGTTGATTCTTTTCTGTGTTTTATTTCATTGAGAAAACTCAAATATATATACATGGTTACAATCATCAATCTCCTAAGTTTATGGGGACTCAAATATATCTTTCCTATCAGAACTATACATGATATACATGCCAAGGAAAGGAGGAAAGGAGATAAAAAGATATACAAAGGAGATATACAAAGGAATGGATTCCTAATTTCAGCATAATCCTCACAACCCCCCTCAAGTTGGAGCATGCAGATTGTGAATGCCCAACTTGCAGAGAAAGTACTCAAATTCTCTGCGACCCAGTGCCTTTGTAAAAATGTCAGTCAGTTGAACGGTAGTCGACACATAAGCAGGACAAATGCAACCAAATTGAAGCTCATCACGTACAAAATGGCAATCAACTTCAATATGTTTCGTATGCTCATGAAACGTTGGGTTTGCTGCAATATGCAAGGCTTCTTGACTATCACAATATAATCGCATTGGGTTTGAATGCGTAACTCCAAGAACCAACAACAATCATTTCAGCCATTTTAATTCACACGTGGCAGTGGCTATAGAACGATACTCTGCTTCCGCTGAAGAGCAAGCCACAGTGTGTTGTTTCTTAGTTTTCCAGGAAATAGACGAATTCCCAAGCAAAATAAACCATCCAGACAGAGAACGTCGGACAAAGGACAGCTCGCCCAGTCTGAATCACACCATGCATATAACTGTAAGTCACAGTTTGAACGCAAAATAATTCCTTGACCAGGGTTTCCTTTCAAGTAGCGCACCACCCGCAATGCGGCCTCCCAATGTCTTTCTAGTGGTTGCTGCATAAATTGTGACAGAACATGCACACAATAAGACAACTCTGGACGAGTTGTTGAGAGATAAATAAGCCTGTCCACCAAGCGCCTGTATCGCTCAGGATCAAATAAGAGAGGCCCATCTGTCAAGGCAAGATTGTGATTCTGCTCTAGAAGAAAATGAACAGGTTTTGCACCAAGTAATCCAACTTCAGAGATAATATCCAAAGCATACTTACGTTGAGACAGAAAAATTCCTGTTGAGTTTCGGGCAACTTCAATGCCCAAAAAATATTTCAATGGTCCTAAGTATTTCATATGAAAGCAATCACTCAAATATTTCTTGAAGACTTGAATTGCCATACTATCATTACCTGACACGATAATGTCGTCCACATATACGAGAACAAGCACAAGCACCCTATCTCGACGAAAGGTGAAGAGGGAGTAATCTGAACATGATTGCTGAAATCTATATGTCTTCAAGGCTACGACTAATTTAGCGAACCAACATCTCGGTGCTTGTTTCAAGCCATACCGAGATTTTCGCAACCGACACACCATACCTGGTTTATTTGACTGAAAACCAGGAGGCATTCGCATGTAGATTTCCTCATGAAGGTCACCATGCAAGAATGCGTTATGCACGTCCATTTGATGAAGCTCCCAATTTTTAGCTACTACGACTGCAAGAAAGGTGCGGACAGTAACCATTTTTGCAACTGGGGCAAAAGTTTCATTATAATCAATTCCCTCAACTTGCTTGTTCCCAAAAATCGTGAGACGGGCTTTGTATCTTTCCACTGTCCCATCAGCATTATACTTGATTCGATATACCCATTTGCATCCTATGGCTTGTTTTTCGGATGGCAAAGGCTCCATAGTCCATGTCTGATTATTTTCAAGTGCTTGTATTTCTTTCTGCATTGCATCTCTCTATTTTTCATCTTTTATAGCCTCAGTAAAAGAAGTAGGTTCAACTCCTGCAGTAATAGCTGCCAAGAAAGCACGATGTCGACAAAAAAAATTGTTACAGTTCACATAGTTATCTATGGGATAAGGACTATCTGCAGAATGTGATTGGCCGAGTGAGCTTGCAAAGAGACGTGGAGAGGGACTCAATTGCTATGTGGTGTGAAGCACATAATCTCTCAACCTTGTGGACTGTTGTTTCTGTCGATGCCCACACCCTAAATGAATTTTAGATTGCTGTTGTTGCTCAATATCGCCACCCCCCCTTACGTCGGGACTGTCTTCACTTGCATTTTCTGTGGTGGCATCACGAGGATGCATGGATTCACCAGCATTTGCATTCGGGTCTACGCGGGTTCCTTCTTCTACACAGATTCCTTCTTCAGTGAATTCAGCTCGCTGGTCAATCTCCATCTCGCCATTTGTTTGTCCAGGTAAATAAGTGGATGGCACCAACACCTCATCTGTCCCACCTATTCCACAATTAAATTGGCCTTGTGCTTTGTTTGGCTGTGCATCCTCCTTGCGTGCATACGAGAATTCATGCTCTAAAAAAGTAACATCTCTTGATGCAAAGAACATGCTAGACTCTAAATCATACAAGCTCCATCATTTCTTTCCAAAATGATACCCAACAAAAACACACCGTCTGCTTAGACTAACAAATTTATCCCCTCCATGTCCATGATTGTTTGCATATGCTAAGCAACAAAAAACTCGCACATTATCATAAGAAGGAGGTCGCCCAAATAAAACTTCATAGGGAGTCTTTCCCTTCAACAGAATGGACGGTGTCCGATTAATCAAATAACATGCGATCAAGACACCTTCCCCCCAAAAATCAATAGGCAAGCTAGCTCGAAAGCGCAAGGCTCAAGCAACATTAAGTATGTGGCGGTGCTTGCGTTCAACCCTCCCGTTTTGTTAAGGGGTCCCGACACAAGTGGTTTGATGAATAATACCATGTTTAGCAAAATAACTAGCCAAATAGACAAACTCAGTCCCATTATCAGTACGAATCACCTTTACAGGTTTGTTAAATTGCCTTTGAATCATAGCAAAAAAATTTTGAAGGACTCGTCCCACTTCCGTCTTATCAACCAGAAGATAGATCCAAATGCCTCTAGAAAATTCATCTACTATGGTCAAGAAATAATGAGCACCACAAAAAGCTACAGTTTTATAAGGACCCCACAAATCACAATGAATTAACTCAAAAATATCGGATGCTTTATTATCACTAGAAACAAACTCTTCTCAACATTGTTTAGCTCAGAAGCATACATCACAACCCTTAATACTATCATTATAATTATTCTTAGTACTAATAAAAGGCAGCAACTTAACAATTCTATAAGAAGGATGCCCTAACCTTTGATGCCAAATATCACACGTCTTGCTCTCTGTAGTCTTCATTGCTCTTGCTGATGCAGTGCTATCAGCATCCTCGTAGTGTGGTCCTGTATCACACAGAATTTATTAGTGAACTGGACAATACAATTTGATTCCTTAATCAATTGTGATACATAAATTAAATTGCAATTCAAACTAGGCACATATAAAACATTAGTCAGTTTCAGATGATCGTCCAGTGCAATTGTGCCTTCTTTCTCTGCTATTGTCGCTTTCCCATCTAGTAATTCAACGGAGCAAGGAATGACATTTTTTATGCCTCTCATCGACTCGAGGCTTCCTGTCATATGATGAGAGGCCCCTGTGTCTATTATCCACTCTGACAATTTTTGCTTACCACTTAGTCGTTGACTCCCCTCTTTTTGTGTGTTCAAAAGGTTGAGTAACATGTTCCACTACTCACTACTCAATCCATTTAACCCAGTCTTGGCTGCATCAATTGATTCTCC